AATTTTCAATGTCTCCTGTCTCCATGTGGTAGAGCATCCACCCAGATCATACCAATAATAAATCTCCCTTCATTGCGTCTGTGGATTATAAAATACTTTATTTTCAGCCATGATTTTCAAAGCTGACATTTCATTTCTCTGCCACGTCGCCAAACATTCACATGACAACTGCATGCGCTGGTTTTGAGGTCACGTCAAACAGCTCATTTCCATTTGTTTGTACCAGTCTGACCCGAGGCATGCCTGGGAAGGTACAAGTTTAGGAAGGAGTTGTGACACGTACCATCGATCGTCTCCCGTCTTCTCGCGACCAAAATCAATAAACTGCATTAAATGTTCTCCCTCAAAATGTCACTCAGCAGAAACCCACCTGGGGCATGTCCACTGAGTCTGGTGAAGCAGAGACAACTTTAGAGAAGAGAAGAATCCTTTTGGCAAATAATAATATGATCGAGCATCTGTCTCGCTGGGATCATTGCACAGTATTTACAGAGGAGCTGATTGTTGAAATCAGTGGCTGCTCCAAACAGTTGTCCACAAGACAAAGCTCTGTATCTTTTCAGCTGATGGTCGACCGTGTGGGCCTTTGGGTGAGAAATACACAAATTACAGCAAGTTAAGTCAATCTTCCAGCAGACGGCTGTAGCTTTAGGATGTTTCCATGGTGACAGGATGGGATATTGTGACAGCGGAGATTGATACGTGTCCAAGCTTGGGCTGTGTATGTGCACTTCCTGTGAGAGCTTAAAAGAGCAGCTGCCACACACAAAAGCTACATTAGATTTGACTCTCTCTCGTTTCTTTTCTCTTTTTTTTATTTTTTAAATCCACCGTCACGCTCACACCCACACCTCTACAGCCAGCAGCACGGCGCCCTGTGGAGCTGAAAGAGCAACAGCTGCAGGTCTGATTAACATCCTCGGGTGACATTTCAGTCCTGGAAAACATGAGTCTCATATCTCCAGATCCCTTGCTTGGCACTTCATTGTGTTATAATCAGCAGAGGATCATTTTAAGTCACTGTATCCTTGAGGATCCCCCTCACACAAACCCGCTAAGAATATTTATGTTCTGAATTTGAAAAATACACAAGTTAGGTGGAATAGAATGAAAAGGGACTGAAGACTGAGAAGAACATCAAACATGCTGCTTTATTCCCCAACTGCTGGATGACTCAGGTGACGTAGTTTTGACTTGAGCAGCTCTGTCCTTTTAATGCGCAAACAAGAAGAAGCTTTGTTCTCTTGAGGGAAACAAACAACAACAACAAGAACAACTTTACTCAGGAAAAGGACTGAACAAAAACCTACTAAATATGCTGAAATGTGATGGGAAATTCTTTTTACCACCTTCTTTAAAGAGCTTTAACAAGACATTTTGTCAGCTCAAGTTTTTTTTAAATGAATGTCAGAAAATGCCAGTTCATGGCTTGTGTGGACTAATCAATCAATCAGTCAATCAATCAATCAATCAATCAGTCAGCAGGAATCAGTCACTGTTAAAGCTCGAGGCTTGGCGGTGTCCTCACCTGATTAATGGCCTCCACGTGTCAAAACGTATTTGTCAATCTACATTTGTGTCAAGAAAGCGGACCCATCAGCACGATGGCTACACGTGTTGTTGCTGCATTTCAATTGAAATGATTTACTGAGAGCAAAAGTGCAGCTTCAACCAAAACTCAGTTATTGTTTAGCTCTCTTCAGTTAGTACTCTGCGTCTGTGTTTTTATCTCTGACTCATATAATTGCACGGGCTTGTGTAATTCCCTCCATTTCCTCCGCCTCACAACCACACAAAGAAACCTCTGATTTCATGCAACTTAAATCGTCCAAACATCTCAAGACTCCGTTACTCGTTGTTTCCCTTGTTCCAGTGCTACAGTAAAGAGAAA